AAGCGAGGCCTGCGCGGCTTGTAGCCGCCGGGCCTCGCTGCTCTCCCCCCCCAAGCGAGGTCCGGTGGCTTGCAGCCGCCCAGGCCTCACTGCCCCCCCCTGCCCGGGCTCTGAGGCGGCGGCGAGGCCGGCTGCAAGGCTGGCTGCAAAGCGTTCCCTGCGCATGCACAGGGGACGCTCTGTCACTCCTGGGGGGATTTAAGTATCCCCCCGATATTTTTTTTTAACTTTTCAGATTTTTGTGCACACCTGGGGACTGCCCCAAGTGTACACAAAAATCTCCCTCCCCCCCAGGTGCCCCCGATGCGCGGATTTCGGTATCCGCACGCCAGGGGGCACCTTCACTATTAGATATATAGATGATTATTAAGAATGCTGGTTTTTACACATTGGTGAGCTGCCTTAAATAATATTTTTTTTGTGAAAATACTATTCTTTAAAAAAACCATTTCAGAGCACCTGGAGAATGTATGTATTACAGCCAAAGTAAATTTAAAGTCTTTGGAAGATTTAACCTACCTTATATATTTGTAATGTTAATGTGTAATATATTTGTAACGTGCCAAATACATAATAATTTGGAACATAACCTCAAAATCAGGGAGGCTTCATTTGTGTGTGTGTGTGTTATATTGCCACCACATTACACACACACTGTAGATTTGATATAGCAGAAGTGTAATAAAAGTATATATATTTATTAGCATGCCACACAATGGCTGTAACATACAGAAAAATCCAAACTTTTCTGCACAATAATAGCTAGGTGAAATAACCATGCTGTACAGATTAGCCAGACCCCAATCATCATTTATCTGGGGTTGATATGAACTTGTAATATGAGCTACTAACATATACAATATCCCACCTAATAAGTAAAATTGCAATGGGTCACAAAAGAAAAAAATCCATGTTATTTCTGAAATTACACTAAAATATGGTAATGGGTTTGAAGCAGAGATTATCCCTAAATGCAAGCGGAAGCAGATATTTTCATACAGGGCTCTAGTCGGGGGGGAGCTCTCAGGTACGGAGCTCCGGAAGAGAACCTCTAGGGGGCGGAGCGGTCACGTGGTGAAGCCCCGCCCCCTTCTTTACCCCGCCCTCTGCTTCGATCCTCATTCCGTTTGGGAATGAGGATGAAGCAGGAGGGTAAGTAGCCAGGCCTTCTGACACACTTCCGGTGATGTCAGGGGGTGTGGCCTTCTGTCACTTCCAGTGATGTCAGGGGGCGTGGCATATGCAAATAAGTTATGCTAATGAGTTATGCTAATGAGCTCCGGCAGCTCTTTTTCTACAACAAGACCCCTGTTTTCATATAATTTGAAGTGGTAGTCTTGCAGGTAAATAAAGCAAGTTGCCAACCCTCAAACCTTTACTGTTGATTTCCATTTAGTTTGGTGTGAAACATCTGTTAGATTGAGATGATTGGAAGCTAACATTTTGCAAAGCCTTACTTCAGATGACACACCAAACCACACATTGTGCTGTTGTACCTGAACAGTTATTTGGGCTTCCAAATGTGTATCAGGCAAGCTATGGTTTAAAGCTGGGAAGAAAAGAGCCCTGCCCTCTCCACCAAAGTAAGGAGGAAGAAAAAGGCAGCCTGCCTGCTCATCTGGGCCACGCACTGCACTGGTTGGGGACAGGCCATCATCACACCAAGAGAAGTCCCAGTGGTTGTAACGACCAGCCCTTCCCTAAATCCCTACACAAAAGACATACTTGGTTTTATAAGAAAAACAAGAGTCTTCTGGAGTTAGGAATCCATTACAAGCCAATCAGAGTTTGGTGTGTCCTGCTCTGTTATATGAAGAGTGGTTGTGAGGACAAAAGGGGAGAAATCCCCTTTTGCTTGCAAGTCAGGAATAGAATACTCACTCAGGTTCCTCCTCTTGTGTTCATGCAAAAGAGATCGGTGAGTTCAAAACAACATCTGTTTATTACTAAGGAAACACAGGGATGGGAGCAACTGGTTTCAGGGCAAGGGAGCTCACACAGTCCAAAATTCTAACTAATAAACAAAACTAACTAACCAGCAGGGACTCCACCCCATGAGACTAAACCAACACACACAAATGTCAGAGTGTTCCATTGTAAGGCACACAATAAATATTCCACTCCCTAAGCTCCTTAGAGGTAGGGTGGGATAAAAATGTAATAAATAAAAATGAAAAGGCATTTTCATTTTGCTCAACTCACAAGCAACAAAACTCACTCTTTAAAAAATATAAGAAAATGTTTATCTTGGCAAGAGCAGTGTAATTACTAATGTTCATTTCAGAAGAATAGCTGTGGTAGCCCGTTGTAGTGAAAAATGACTAAAAAAATCCCACTGGTCGTAATAAGAATAGGACACACCTAACTCTGATTGATTGGTTCAAATCCTTGATTATATTTTTTTTCATTTTCTTTGCCCTACTTGTATAAAACTGTTTTTCCTACTATATCCCTAGGTTGGCAAACTTGCCGTTTTTGTTGCATGCTTTAAGGTGTCACAGAATTCTTTATCAGTGTCAATAGACTTACTTTCAAGGCTCATCCTAAGTATGACCTCACTGATTCACAGACCAAATTAAGTATGAATTCAGGCAATAATGTCAGTTGGATTTCTAGAAGCCATGATTTCTGGTGACCTGGTGGTACAGTTGGAACATTTTAAATGTATATCTGATGATGCTACAACTTCAGTTGATTTTAGTTCAGATCAGAATACCAATGGAGTTTTTGTGAAGCATAAATATGCGATGAACTCAGCAGTAAACTCTGCTATACTATCATTCAGAAATTACAACAAACCATAACTTTTTGGCTTGTGATAGAGCCTAGGAGATTCTGGGGCTTGCACACCCCATCCTGTCCTTTCTTTATATGTGGATATCTAGTTCAAGACATTCATTTTTGTGGTAAAATATATTTGTTGTATTTGAACCACAGACTATAGTTGTTGTTTCCTACAAGCCAGAAGTCAGAACTGGAATTAAGCCAGATTTTGGAATCCTGGTAGGCAGAGAAAAATGCAAGCCAGAGGTGAAGGTTCAGAATAGCAGCTGACTTCAGTTTATTACAAAAGTAGCAGTTTTTCATCAATTGGCCCCATTCAAAAGTGGAGGGGGCATGTGAGTGGGGGTCCTTCTCCCCCCTTTTAAAACTAACCTTGAGCTGAACAAATTTCAATCAAAGTGCAAGTCTCCTATAGTATTGTGGCAGATCCCAAAGAATTGTTTGTCAATGTGCCTAATTTAACATGTTAAGAGAGAATGGGAGCTAGCATTGGGGAAGACCTCAAGTCCTTGAATAAGGATAATAAGGGGGAAAAGGGAATGTAGCTTGTGCTGTAACAAAATGGAGGGAAAAGAATGTAGCTTGTGTTGTAACAAAATGTCACAGACTATTCTAGTAGCCAATTGTGGGTCTACTCCACCCATAATACCTTCTTGCAGTTAGCGTTAAAAACTCCTCCCAAACCAGGAAGGGACCAAGTAAGGAAAATAGAAGCTCAAAGCAACATTTATGAGGAAGTTCAGGAATGGGAGCCAATGAAGTAGAGGGTAAAAAGCCACTGAGTTCACCTTAGGTATGTGAGTCATTAGAGATATGGGAGGTGGCAATAGTTTTCTTTGCATTCATTTATATTTGTTATATATATTTTTCAGCTGACATGGGCTTTGCAAGGTTATTCAATTCTCCTCTGAAGCCACTGGCAGATCTGGATCCAGTTGTGGTAACCTTTTGGTACAGAGCCCCAGAACTGTTACTTGGCGCAAGGCACTATACAAAGGCCATTGGTAAGTTACTAGTAGGTTACAAGGCTTACCCTATGATCTACTGTTCCATTATATAATATAGTATCTCAGAATGTCAGTTGAAAAAAATTCTGGTGATGGTAAGTTCAAAGCAAGAATGCAAATTTAGTACACTTTAGAAGCCAAGAGGTGCTTCTTTAAGTCTGATTCCAATTAAAATTCGTTGGTGCTCTTGCATCCAAATACTAACCAAGGCCGACCCATGTTGCAGATGTGAAAAGTTTTTCAAAGTGAGGAGGGAACGGGGAAAGAAACCCTGAAATCTCACTTTTGGAATGATCTATGAGATTGTTAATAAGTATTCACTTCTGATTTTCTTTTATCTAGAAACATGTGTTTCTGCATGAGAATAGTTTCTTAGCCCAGACAGGAAAGTGTAAATCCATGAATCAAAGTAGTAATGTAAAGTGGGGATGATTTTCTTCTTTTTACTCTCTAATCTCCCTCATCATTCTATGCCCTTTCCACGGAGCTTACTTCATAGCCAACCCTTCCTCCAAAAAGCTGAAGGCAGCAGATATGATTCTTTTTCATTTGTAGTGTATCTATCGCCGACCACGTGGCACACAAAGGCTCCACGCAGCCAGGCTAAACCTCCGAGCTTTGCTCCTTAGAATAATGGGTTTAGTGGATCCTAGCCCGCCCCAATCAGAGGGCTAGGCTCCTAGCCGAGAGCCTACAGAACTCTCGGCCACTGTAAATAGCCAATTCCTTGGGTGTGTTTTGGGTGTAGGGATTTTGGGGATATAAAACCGGCCTGCGAGCCGGGTACAGTTGTCTTGTTCTTTCCGAATAAAAGACTTAGAACTGAAATCACGAGTATGTCTTAAGGACTTTTCAGTGGCGACGAAGGTGGGATTCTGAGATCTCCCTCCCATGAACGACCAAGAGACGAGCACCGCATCGTGCTTCAGCATCGAGAGCTACACCCGCCGCCAACGCAGCGACTCGTGTCCTGCTGCTCCGACCACAGTGCACCGCACCGCTCCAGGCATCGCTGACTCCAAGTGCAGCTCCGCCTCTACCTCCATCTCTTCATCGGCTGCCTCCTTCACCACACCCGAGCAACTGCTGCCAACTCCACGTGTCGCTAAGATGGGCGCTGGTAACGAGAGTTTCCCTGAATTCGATATCTCCCACCCCACTCAATGGGAGACTTGGCTGGAAACACTCAAAAACCACTTCGAGATAAACAACATCACGGATCCTGGGAAGAAAAAGGCCCATCTCCTACGGTACTGCGGAATCGAGGCACACCTCTTGCTGAAGGACCTGATGGCGGCCCGACTGACCAAAGACGCGGCTGCGACCTACGACATGCTGGTAAAGGTGCTCACGGACCACCTGGCCTCAAAATGCACTAAGTTCGCAGAGAAGATGGACTTTTTTGTGAGAGTCCAGGGATCAGACGAGTCGGCCTCTGACTTCCTGGCCGGGCTGCGACGGGCAGCCACAAGATGTGCTTTCTTGGACCTGGTGGAGGCACTCTTAAACCAATTCTTGGTGGGTCTCCGGGAGCCCAAGTTGCGGCAAAAACTCATCAGTCGTGGCAACCTTGACCTAGAGAAGGCGATCAGCGAAGCGGTGGCCTATGAGCAGTCGCACTCTGACCGCCGCGCCAAGGCGGTCCACATCGTACAAGCAACAGCGGATTCCGACGGCTCCAGCGATGAGGAAGTTTTACGGGTCAACCGATGTTCGTCCCAGCACTCTCAATGCACCAAAGGGTCATCCTCGGCCAAAGCATATCCCGGCTCCTCTACCTGCGCCAGCTGTGGTGACACGAGCGCTGGACATGCAGATTCCGCGATGACGTTTGCCGGACCTGCAACAAGGCTGGACATCTGGCAAGAGTCTGCCGCTCCAAGGGGCAACGGCAGAAGACAACAGCGCAGCTGGCTTCATTGGATCTCCACACTGTGTCAACCCACTACCAACAAACAGTATGTAACTTACCCCCGGATGGCCGGGACAAGGTGCATGTGACTGTCCTTATTGTAGAATGGAAATTGACTCGGGCTTGTCCTTTTCTATAATCTCGGCCAACACCCTCCGTTCTCTATGCCCGTAAGGGGGACCCTGGTTGCAGAAGCCACTGGGTCTCGTTGCGGGATTTCAATAAGAACCCTGTGGCGGTCCGTGGCTGGGGTAAGTTCCGGATCCAGTTTATGGATTTTTTGGGGCTGCTGGACCTGTTGATGGTAGAAGGGCTCCTGTCCAGCTGATTGGGACTGTCATGGTTCGCGCCTCTGGGCCTCAAGATAACGGGCACATCAGATCCGGTCATCGGATGTTGAGGCAGTTTGCGGGGAGTTCCCCAAAGTGTTTGATGGGTCTCTGGGGAGGTACACTGGGGCCCCAATTTTTCTGGACCTAGATCCCAATGTGGGCCCCATCCGCATTAAGGCACGACTTCCCCCCATCGCGATGCGAGCCAAAATAGAGGCAGAGTTCGAAAGGCTCGTCGAGCAAGGGGTGTTGGAACCGGTCGCGTCTGCGTGCTGGGAGACCCCCATCATCACGCCAGTCAAACTGAACGGTGATGTCCGCATATGTGCCGATTATAAGTGCACTATTAACAAGGCCTTGCAAGACCACGCCTTCCCGGTCCCAGTGGTGAGCTATGTCTTAGCCTCCCTTACGGGGGCCAGGGTCTTTGGTAAGCTAGATTTGGTGCAAGCTTACCAGCAGTTGCTGGTGGATGCGGCAGCCGCCGAGGCACAAACCATTGTGATGCACAAGGGGGCGTTTAGAGTCACTAGGCTACAGTTTGGTGTATGTGTGGCCCCTGGGATTTTCCAGTCATTTACGGATTCCCTCCTTAAAGGCATCCCAGGTGTACAACCTTTTCTAAATGATGTAATCATCACGGCGCCGGACTCCACTATCTTTGCAGACCGGCTCTGGGCAGTTCTCCGGAGGTTCAACTCCGCCGGTCTCAAGGTGAAGAAAGAAAAGTGTCTCCTTGGGGTGCCACGCATTAAATTCCAGGGGTTTGCAGTGGACGCCCAGGGAATCCACCCCACGGACTATAAAGTTTGGGCGATTACGGAAGCCCCCACTCCCACTTCCAACTTGGAACTACAGGCTTTCTTGGGCCTGCTCAACTTTTACCATGCTTTTCTGCCTCTGAAAGCTGCTGTGGCGGAGCACCTGCATCGTCTGGATGCTTGCTTACGCCGCGGCATTTCAGGGGGTCAAAGACTTGCTTATTTCTAATTCCGTCTTGCACCATTTCAACGAGGCACTGCCGGTCGTCCTCGCCTGTGACGCCTCTCCTTACGGGGTCGGGGCGGTCCTGGGTCACCAGTTGCCGGCTGGCTGGGAGGTCCTGGTCGCGTACTACTCTAGGACCTTGTCTTCTGCGGAGCGTAATTATGTGCAGATAGACAAGGAGGCGTTAGCGATAGTAGAAGGTGTGAAAAAATTCCACCACTATCTCTACGGCTGGCCCTTCACCGTGGTGACGGACCATAAACCTCTTCTGGGTCGCCTAGCTCCCGACCGTCAGACGCCGCAGGTGGTATTCCTCCGGGTCCTGTGGTGGTCCATTTTCATGGCCGGTTACAGCTATGACCTTGTGCATTATCCCGGGGAGGCCATCGGGCATGCAGATGCCCTCAGCCGTCTTCCGTTGCCCATCTCAGACCCCGACCCTGCTCCCGCACATTCGATCGCCCTCGTGGAGTTGCTCCCCAATTGCCCGGTCCACGTCTGGGAGGTGGCCCGCCTCATCGGCCAGGAGAAGGTTCTCTGTTGGGTCCTGGACTGGGTGGAGAGGTGTGGCCTGTGGCCAAGCAGGGCCCTGAGTTCATGCCGTTCATCATGCGTAAAGACGAACTGTCCACGTACAAAGGGTGCCTGATGTGGGGTGGTCGGGTGGGAATACCTGCTGCACTACAGCCGCGAATCACAGCGTCTCTACACGAGTACCACCCCAGGGTCGTGAGGATGAAGGCGTTATCGAGGAGCTATGTCTCGTGGCCTGGCCTCGATCGGGACATTGAGGACAAGGTAAAACAATGTCAGCCCTGCCAGGTCTCTCGCCCCGAACCACCCAGGGCCCCGGAGAAAGCATGGGAGTCCTCCCACCGCCCCTGGTCTCGGCTTCACCTAGATTTCGTGGGGCCGTTCCAGGGGCAGCTGTTTTTCATTCTTGTTGACTCTTACAGCAAATGGCTAGAGGTCATTCCCGTTCCATCCACCTCCTCGAGATCCGCCATCAAGGCCATGTGGCAGATCTTCAGTGCTCAGGGTATCCCTGACACCTTGGTAACGGACAATGGAACTGCGTTCACGTCCAGGGAATTCCAGGAGTTTACATCCTACTATGGAATTCGCCATGTGCGTTCAGCCCTGTTCCACCCCGCCACGAATGGCCAAGCGGAGCGGATGGTCCGAACCACCAAGGACACACTCCGCCGACTGGAATCACCAGACTGGGACTACAAGTTGGCCTCCTTCCTCTTTGGTCAACGGACCACCCCGCACACCATAACGGGACGCAGCCCTGCCGAACTGCTCCTGGGTCGCCGCCTCACAACACGCCTGGATAGGCTACACCCAGATAGGGCCCCAGAACGCGAGCCGGACAGTGAGGACCAGGAAGCCACCCAAGGTTTCTTCCCTGAGGACCGCATGTACGCACGGAACTACGTCAAGGGCCCGCCATGGATTCTGGCGCGAGTGGTACAAGTCAAGGGTCCCCGTTCGTACAAGGTCGCCTGTGAGGACGGAGTGGTGCTACAAAGACACACCGACAAACTGCGTCAGCGAGTGCTGCCACTAGACCTGGAGGAAACTGAAGAGCTCTACACGCCTGATGCCCCAGAGTCACATCCACAGTCCAAGGTTGTCAACACACCGGAGGCAGAGTTCCCGACGCCAGTCCATCCTCCCACAGACTCTCCAGTCGCTGAGGACGAGGCCCCCAGGTCGGCACCGGCCAGCTCTCCACCAAGAGCATCAGCGTCGGTGTCTCC